TTTCTCCAGCCTGTTCGCCTCTTCCGGGTTGGTGACTACAACCGCGAGCTTCATCCCTCGGCGGTTGGGTCCTAAGACCGTCACTTTCCTGCATCATGGCTTTCCTATCGCTTCCGACAACACTTGTTGCACCTCGGCTTCTTGGGTAAAGCAATCCAAATAACGGATATCGAGTGTAACTTTTCGATCCAACGACTGCACCTTACCCATTCTTCCAACTGCTTTGGTGACCTCAGCGGTGAAAGCGCCCTTGTCGGATCCTCCTCTGATCTTAATCAGAAGGTCTCCCGTCTTTGTAACTTTTGCTGCTACTATTCTCGTAAGGCAGTCGTCCGGGTTGACCTCTTTGCGAAGTTTACCCAGAACGTCAGCATACGTTAATCCTTGACCGACTCGGATTAGAACTGCTGATCTTTTTGACCCCATTCTTTCCATTTAAGGAATCTTTGGATCTGGTACTTCCGTTTCCATTGGAGGAGCTTCCTCCTTTTTCCTCTTATCGGTTTGGGTTTGAGTCTCCCCTAGACTGTCACCCTCTCGCTTCCGTTTTTGAGCATCTCTTAGGACGCTTTTGAGATTACGCTTATAGGAACGCTCTCTCTGCGGCTGCGACATGCTTTACTTTTGCCTCTTTCAACAGGACTTCGATGGCTCTGAGTCCATCTTTTACCGTCCTGTTGACATTCTTCTGAATGTCGCAAGATTTCATCATCTTTGCGACCTCCAACTCCATTTTGTCGAGGCAAGTCACCTCCTCCTTTCTGAGCCGCGAGCATATCTCGCGAGTCTCTTCTATCGCCTCGTCGTCTACTCCTGAGTGAATAGCGCTGTGTACGGTCTTTCCGCTACTGCAGCTTGACACACTTAGAAGGCTCGACGCGCTTCCCTTTCTTATTCTTTCTCCTTCCACGATGTTCTGTGGATCTAATCTTTCCACGATCACTCGTGGCACTGCAAGAAATTGTGCTCCCCACAATCCGCGCGCACTTGAGCATCAGTCTTGGGACCGATGGTGAGACTTTCCGTTTCCGGCCTGTTCACATGGGGTACCTTCTTTGAATTTTGTGAATCCATTCTTTCTTGCTGTTTGGTTGCTCTTTAGTGAAAAGCCCCGCCACCACGGCAAGGTCTACCGAACATATCCATGATGCCAGTCGTGTCTGGCAGCGGGACCACTTCTCCCAGCACATCAAAAAAATCAATGATGTTTGGCAGTGGACCCGCTTCTCCCAGCACATCTAAGACATCAATGATGTTCGGCAGTGGACAACGAGCGGCGGAGATGAAATACATCTTAGGCTAACATATATCTTTTCCATTCATAAAAATATTTAAAATACATGGAAGAGGACTTAATAAATTATTTATTAAAATACATTGATAATTACTACCTTCAAATTTGTCAATATATATTTCAAATCCGCATTTTTGAAGAAGCTGTTTATACTCCATCTCACGTAATCACTTTTTAGATAATATATATTTGATAATTTTTATTTATTTAACTTTGGACTTGTTAAAGTTAAATCAATTTCTACTCAATGCACAAAAATACAATTTTTAAAACAAACATTAATTTTGAAGAAACACTTATTACTGCACTGAGAAATTATATTTTTTCCATGACGCTTGGTTTTAGAACCAAAGACTTTAAACGTAAACGAGATACTCCGAAATAACTGAAAATTTGAAGATTAACACTAGTCGAAATGCTTTTTATATTTTCTGATATTTTACGAAAAGGGCCGAAGTTAAAAACTATTAAAAAAAAATATCCCTAAGTTGTTTGGAAATTAGTAAGGCTACTTGAACTTTTCCTCGGAGAGGATCAGATTCATAAGGTCCAACATGTGGTCTCCATACAGCGAAACACTAATAAATTCCTTTCCAATATTTTTCTCTGGATTCTTTATTGCAAGGATAAAGACATTTTTTATGTAACAAAAGATTTTGAGAAACTTGTCTTAAATAAAATTAAAAATTTTTTAAATTAAAATTTTAAAACAGTTTATAATATTATAAAACTTACTGCAATTATTATTAACAATCTGAAATATTTTTGATGTGAACTATCTTTAACCCTCCTGCGTACCGTGACGAGTATACTCGTCCAAACTAAGTTGTTACCAAATACGCGAGGACGAGTATACTCGTCCAAATATTTTTTCTCATAACTTTAAAACAAATTAACTTTAACACAAGAGACAAAGTGCAACTTACAGTGTAAGGTTCATAGTTAATGATACATACATAATAAAGTCTCTAATTAAAGTATTTGTTAATAAACAAAGTATTAAATATTTGTTATAAACAGTAGAGGATAGGTCATAAAATAAAAGTTGGAAATACATACTTCTCTTAAAAAATTGTTTGATTTTAATGAAACTTGGTATCTCAAGGGTTTTTGGAGTTGCTGATTAAGAATCTGATGCCAAATTAAAAAAATCAAAAATGGCAGATCCAATATGGCGGATGAGTTTTTAAAAAATTCATCCAAATTTCTTGAAAATTTATAATTAGATCCAATATGGCGGATAAAATTTTCAAAAATTTATCCAAATTTCTTAAAAATTTATAATCGGGGGTTTTTGAGGTCGCTGATTACGAATCTAAGGTCATATTTAAAAATTTCAAAATGGCGGATCCAATATGGCGGATAAATTTTAAAAAAATTGTTTGATTTCAATGAAACTTGGTATCTAGGGGTTTTTGGGGTCGCTGATTACAAATCTGAGGTCAGATTTTTAAATCTCAAAATGGCAATATAAGAATATTCTATAAATTTAACAATTCTTTAATTGTTTAAACAAATAATTGTTGTTATGTACTAACTTTTCATAAAAAATATCTAGAAACATGCAGCTTTTTTCTAATTTTGCAATTAACTAAGCTGAGTAATATTAAATTTAGGTTTTTCATAAATTTAACGATTCTTTAATTGTTTAAACAAATAATGTTGTTATTAACTAACTTTTTACAAAAACATCTAGAAACATGCAATTTTTTTTCCAATTTTACAATTAACTAAGCTAAGTAATATTACATGAAGATTCTTCATAAATTGAACGATTCTTTAATTGTTTAAACAAATAATGTTGTTATTTACTAACTTTTTACAAAAAACATCTAAAAGCATGCAATTTTTTCTAATTTTGCAATTAACTAAGCTAAGTAATATTACATGAAGATTCTTCATAAATTGAACGATTCTTTAATTGTTTAAACAAATAATGTTGTTATTTACTAACTTTTTACAAAAAACATCTAAAAGCATGCAATTTTTTCTAATTTTGCAATTAACTAATTTAAATAAAATACCTTCAATTTTGCAATTAACAAACATGAATCTTACAAAAATACTGATCTTGTTAACTTTTAAAATTTGGAAAAAGCTTGTTTCTAAGTATTTTGTGCAAGGAGTTAATCAACATCTATAATTATTTGTTTAAATATGTGTTTAATTGTTAAATTTATAAAACATTATTATGTAGTACTACTCAACTTAGGAAGTCTAAAAAATGCACATTGTTTCATATAACAGAGACGTAGTTTATGAAGGACTTGTAAAATACCAACATATCTATAACAAATCTAAAATATTTTTAAAACTGGCGGCCATATTGGCTCTGATCTTCTGTATTTTTAAAATCTGATCTCAGCTTCGTAATAAGTGACCTCAAAAAACCCTAGACACCAAGTTTCATTAAATTTTTTTAATAAACCCAAAAATTTTTTTTAAAATTCGTCCGCCATATTGGTTCCGCCATTTTTAATTTTTCTAATTTGACCTTAAATTCGTAATCAGCGACCTCAAAAAACCCCGATTAAAAATTTTCAAGAAATTTGGATGAATTTTTTTAAAAACTCATCCGCCATATTGGATCCGCAATTTTGAATTTTTTAAATCTGACCTCAGATTCGCAATCAGCGACCCCAAAAACCTCTAGATACCAAGTTTCATTACAATCAACCAATTTTTTAAAAATTCATCCGCCATATTGGATCCGCTATTTTGAATTTTTTAAATTTGACCTCAGATTCGTAATCAGCGACCCCAAAAACCCCTAGGTACCAATTTGTAGAAAAATCCAACAGTGTGAAAAATTTGTGCAATTGGATATTTTCCTTAATATGAAACCAGTAGATATGCAAATTAGAGAAAGAGAGAAACCAGAGCCGGCGTTACTGGCGCCGTTACCCAGACGTTACCTTTTGTGTTTCAATTATAAAAGTATATATATATATATATATATATATATATATATATATATATATATATATATATATATATATATATATATATATATATATATATATGTTGTGGTCAAAGTCCGGAGTGAGGGCAATCCGCGGAATGCCCGGGCACTTCGCAGTTTGCCCAGGCTGTTTTGGGCAAAGTCCGAAATGCTGATTTATTTCGGGCTTTGACACAGTTCCTGCCGGGCAATCTGCGAAGTGCCCAAGCAGCCGTGGGCAATGTCACCAAAATCGTTTCTTATTAATAAAAAATTTTTATTTTTATTAAAATACAGTTTTTAATTGTTTAAAATGTTGGAAATGTAATTCTTTAAGCATCCACTAAATTAAATTTAAAATTTATTAATTATCTTTTTCATATAAAATACGAAATCATGATATTATAGGCTTGTTTGTATTCCTTCTTTTGTATTTAGCATCTATTTGATTGCTGTGTATTGTTTTTGAAATATAAAGAAAAACGTCATCTTTTTGTCTATCCAATTTATGAATAAAATTGATTTGATTTTCGAGACTTATTTTGAATTATCGTCAGTATAATTATTGACGAGACAAGCGAAGGTGCTTAAAATAAAACTAATATTATAATCATGAGTGACACAGTAGTAATTAATAGTGAGGCCGTTGATAATTTAAATGAAAAAGAGAAAATGAAAGAAAATTTTTATGAAAGTATAGTGGATGAGTGCAAGAATAGTAACTCTTTTCTTATAGACTCGGTGGAAAAATACAATGATTTATTAATGGAAGTGGAAGAAGCCAAAAGAAAAACGAAAAAATCATCTCTTGATTATAGACGCCTAAACCGTTTCGAAGTGTTATGCATCGGAGGATGTAAAAAATTAATTAAGCCAGTGATTGATGAATCAGCGGACATTAAATATTATGTGACGAAGTGTGAACTGTTTAATGTTATGTACGATGCGCATATAAATTGTGGTCATGGTGGTCGTAATAGAATGGAAAAAGCACTATTAGCAAAGTACGCAAATATTTGCAGAAAAATTATAGTTAAATTTATTAATCTTTGTGTGGTTTGTGAAAAAAAGAAAAATCACCCTAAAAAAGGACTCGTCGTTAAACCATTATTATTTAGAGAAATAAATCTCAGAGCACAAGTAGATCTCATTGACATGCAGACTTGTAAAGATGGGGACTACAAGTTCATTCTCAATTACCAGGATCATTTGTCAAAATTTCTCATTCTTCGTCCCTTAAAAACAAAAACTGCCGAGGAAGTTGCGCATTGCTTGTTAGACATATTTTGCACTTTGGGAACACCGTCAGTTTTACAATCTGATAACGGTCGAGAATTTGTCAATCGTGTAATCGAAGCGTTGAGAGAGATGTGACCAGATTTGTCCATTGTTCATGGAAAACCCAGGCACTCGCAGAGTCAAGGAAGCATCGAACGGGCAAATCAGGACGTGGAAAATATGTTGGTCGCGTGGATGGAAGACAACAATTCTAAAAAGTGGAGTGAAGGTCTGAGATTTTGTCAACTCCAAAAAAATAACGCCTATCATCGGGGAATTCAACAAACTCCTTTTGAAGCTATGTTTGGTAAGTATTTAAAATGGAAATTTTTTTATAAAAATAAAATTACTAAAAGTAATTATTTTCATTCATAACATATTTATTATTTATTTTCATAGGAAGGAGAGCACACATCGGCATCTAATCTATTCCAGACTCCATGAAGTTTATCTTGCGAACAGAAGAAGATTTGCAAAATATTTTAGAAAATAATAATAACATCGAAGAGAACTTGAAGGCCGTAAGAGAAGAAAATGTGGATGATTTGACACTTCCGGAAATTCACATATGTCCTATTTGCGAAAAAGAAACTACAGGTGCACATAAATGTAGACTGTGCGATAGATATGTGCATACTATTTGTGGAGTTAGTTCACCTAAAGATGAAGGATTCGGGTCTCAGATTTTGTGTATTCTTTGCTCTAATAAAATTAATATGTCCAAGAATAAAAACAAGGCAATAGAAGGGCTTTCAATACAGGCTGATGAAATGAAGGAAGCTTCCAATAAAAAGTTTTGCAGCATTGAAGTTGGAACTTCAGTAAGAATACCAATTCCTTCCGTCGACAAGGGCAAAGGTGATTTGCGAAATTTAATTGGAATTGTAATGGAGGTAACGACAGACGGTTTATATAAAATAGGCACTCGCCACGGCATAATTCGTTCCTTGTATTCCCGAAATCAATTTTCTCCGTGTGAAGAAAAATTTTTAAAATTGACAGAAATCCCACAAAAAATGGTTTCAGTTCGACATATTAATGGTGAGGAGTCACAATTTGGACTACAAGGATTTGTTAAATGCAATTGCACAAAAAAATGTATCAGTATGGCTTGCAAGTTTAAAAAAAATAATGTTATGTGCAATTCCAAATGCCATAATTCCAATCCTTGTGCCAATAAATAATTTTTTTTTCAATTTCAATAACAATTTTTAATTTTAAACGCAAAACATTTGTTTGTAGTAATTTTTGAATAATTTTGTATATTGTGAATTTAATAAAATATCTTCGATGCAGAAATTTTATCATATTTTAATTTAATTTAAAAATTAAAAAAAATTTATTTTTCAGATATTAGATATCATTGCTGGACATTGCCCGCGGCTGCTTGGGCACTTCGCAGATTGCCTGGCAGGAACTGTGTCAAAGCCCGAAATAAATCAGCATTTCGGACTTTGCCCAAAACAGCCTGGGCAAACTGCGAAGTGCCCGGGCATTCCGCGGATTGCCCTCACTCCGGACTTTGACCACAACATATATATATATATATATATATATATATATATATATATATATGACGGGTTCCACGTCAAGTGACCCAGGTCAAAAATTTACATGGAATATTTGAAAAATTTGTAGTTTCTGTAAAACAAAACGAAAATACGTTTTCTATTTTGGGTTTTGCTGCTGTTTTTCAACACTTTCTAATAGTGTGAACAAATGTAGAGAAAAAAAATTGTTTGACCTTGAAAAATTAAATTAAAAAATAAAATTTCATTTTTTTATCAAATGGGCAGTTTTTAATTTTTTTAAAAAAATTTTATCAGAAAGGTGAGGTTTTTTCCTAAAAAAAATGTATAGGTCAAAACGTGGGACAAGAACTTTTAACTGGTCAAATTAAGCATTTACTTCTGCGGTGCACCGTCCCACAGTGGAATTTTTTTTACAATTTACTATTAAAAAATGTCTATAGCTTACAATTTTTAACCGATTTGAGTGTTCTTTGTCTTAAATTAAAGAGGAATAAATTCTTAAGACATCCTTCGAGGCCGATTTTGGAGATTTTAATTATTTATAATTTTTTTAAAATCAAAGTTAACAAATTAATACACTTTTTTAAAAAAGGAGGTTTATTTTCTTATTCCGTTGATGCACATGATCTAAATAAATTTAAATTCATCCAATATGACCACCAGATAATTAATAAAGCATAAAATAATCTATTTCAATTGTTATAAACAATATATAGCCCAACAACGAGCAGGGGCGGTGGATTGCAGAAGTAAATGTTTACTTTGACCAGTTAAAAGTTCTTGTCCCACGTTTTGACCTATACATTTTTTTAGCAAAAAACCTCACCTTTATGATAAAATTTTTTTTTTTTAAATAAAAACTGTCCATTTGATGAAAAAATGAAATTTTATTTTTTAATTTAATTTTTCAAGGTCAAACATTTTTTTTCTCTACATTTGTTTACACCATTAGAAAGTGTTGAAAAACAGCAGAAAAACCCAAAATAGAAAACGTATTTTCGTTTTGTTTTAAAGAAACTACAAATTTTTCAAATATTCCATGTTAGACCAAAAATTTAAACTTTGACCCCGTCCAGTTTTTATATTTGTTTAAATAAATTAATAATATTTGGTATTTTTAATTGTATCTAATAGGACTACTGTTTCTGCAAAATTTTTACCCGATCCCAAACATTTAAAATTTTGACCTGGGTCACTTAACGTGGAACCCGTCATATATATATATATATATATATATATATATATATATACTAGGGGGGCTTCGCCCCCCTGCGCGCTTCGCGCGCCAACCCCCTATCTCTATTTTTCTATTAATTTTAATTTTTATAAATTTAAAGTAATTTTTTCTTAATATCAATGCATCTTAATAAATTGCATACAATACATGACAAAATACGCATAGATTTTGACGTAATGTAATAATCGTTATGGACCTTTTTTATATATATGTCAAAAATTAGATTAAACTTTGACACATATTTTGACCCATTTTAACCTATAGGTTAAAAAGGCGTCAAATTTTAAATAGATTTTGACGTATCATAGATACGTTTATTGTCCTTTATTGTCCCTTTTTAAGTTGTAGTTAAATAAAAGTCAAATTAAACATAGATTATGACGTAACTAAATGAGGAAGTAAAAATAAAACGTCAAAATTAGGTCAAAATGATAGGTGTAAGAGCAAACACAATTTTAAAATTACCTTACATTGTTAGGTAAGATGCCAAACTTCACCTCATCATTAAGTCTGCGCGCGGAAATTGTTTGACAAATTTTGATGTGTAGGTCAAAACTGCCCTCAAAATTGACCTAAATTTTGAGGGTAGCGGAAATTGTTTGTCAAACTTTAACGTCTAGGTCAAAACTGCCCTCAAAATTGACCTTAATTTTAAGGGTAGCGGGAATTCTTTGTCAAATTTTGACGTCTGGGTCAAAACTGCCCTCAAAATTGACCTAAATTTTGAGGGTAGTGGAAATTGTTTGTCAATTTTTGATGGGTAGGTCAAAATTGCCCTTAAAATTGACCTAAATTTTGAGGGTAGCGGAAATTGTTTGTCTAGGTCAAAACTGCCCTCAAAATTGACCTAAATTTTGAGGGTAGCGGAAATTCTTTGTCAAATTTTGACGCCTAGGTCAAAACTGCCCTCAAAATTGACCTATATTAACGTAATGTGAGGCCATTATTTATCCTCTTTTTGACCTACAGGTAAAAAAATATGTCAAATTAGACATAGATTTTGACGTAATGTGAGGCCGTTATTTATCCTCTTTTTGACCTATAGGTCAAAAAATAGGTCAATTTTGACATAAGTTTTGACGGCCCCTTTGGGCTAGGGCGCCCTTACAGAATCTTGAAACAGCGGCGGCGGCGGCGATATCTTTTTGTAATATAGGTATATATATATATATATATATAATAATTAAAAATAATTAAATTTAACCTAATTTTGAGGTTATGTTTGTCCTCTGAAGTTGGCCGCTTATGACCTTGAAACCAAAAATGTTTGTCCTCTGAAGTTGGCCGCATATGACCTTGAAATCTAATTTTGAGGTTATGTTTGTCCTCTGAAGTTGGCCGCATATGACCTTGAAATCTAATTTTGAGGTTATGTTTGTCCTCTGAAGTTGGCCGCATATGACCTTGAAACCTAATTTTGAGGTTATGTTTGTCCTCTGAAGTTGGCCGCATATGACCTTGAAACCTAATTTTGAGGTTATGTTTGTCCTCTGAAGTTGGCCGCATATGACTTGATTTGTGGCCAACTTCAGAGTCTTGAAACAGCGGCGGCGGCGGCGTTGGCGGCGATATCTTTTTATAAGATAGACAGATATATATATATATATATATATATATATATATATATATATATATATATATATATATATATATATATATATATATATATATATATATTGACTTTTATCTATAGTTTTCCTTGCGATGAAGAAAGAAAGAAAATATTATTACCTGGGTCCCTCATTTACAAAGGCATTTTCATTTTCAAGGGTTCGTATTGTTTGTGGTAATCCTCCGTAGGGTCTAATACAGGTCTAATATATATATATATATAATACTAGAGAGGCTTCGCCCCCCTGCGCGCAAACCCCCTATCTCTATTTTTTATATTTACTTTAATTTTTATAAATTTTAAATAATGTTTTTTTAATATGAAGAATGCATGATAATAAATTACAATAAGTATATGACAAAGTACACATGGATTTTAAAGTAATGAAACAATTGTTATTGACCTTTTTTAACCTATATGTGAAAAATTAGATTAAATTTTGACTTAAATTTTGACTCTATTTATTTTTAAAGTTATTTTTGCTTTCCCAACTATTATTTTGACCTAATTTTGGCGTTTTATTTTTACTCCCTCACCTATAACTTTTTAACTAAGTTTGAGGTTATGTTTTCCTCTAAAGGAAAATAAATTTTAATAAAATTTTTAAAAATAGATGTCAGTTTTTAATGATTTAAACTTACTATTAAATTTTAAGTCAAGCTTTTTTTAACCTATAGGTCAAAAATGTTGTCAAATTTTAATATAAGGTAACGAC